CATCTTCGAAGAGCTATGAAACTCTTTGTACAGCCCCCCTGTTGTTAGACACAGACATCTTACAACCAGTGTTGGTTAGGCACAGGCATTTTTGTTGAGTCCAAGCTAAACCAAGAACATCTCTATTTCCATTTGGGGTGACGCTGAGAAAATCTTGCGGCAATCTTGAGTTCAGACAAAGCCTCCAACCTGTCCTTACCCGGTTGAGCTGGATCATTGACATCTGAACCCCAAGAGAGACAAGTCCATCTGGCTCAGAGGCTGCCAAGAAGTTATCTCCGTCTCTCTGTCTCCCCTTGAGAATGGCAGGTAGCAAATGACTCTTAATTAAAGAGGCTGTGTCAAGGGGACTCAAAGCTATGACTCATTGGGTTCCAGACCTACAGAAATGAAAACGAGACAAGAAAGAAAAAAAAAAAAAAAGCTGCCAGTGTGGTTGAGAAACAGAGGTGGCCTGTTAATGAAAGTTGATGTCACAGAGCTCTCAGAACAAGAACATTAGAAGTGAAGGAAGGATTGGACAGGTAGCTGTGAAAGAAAAAGGTGCCAAGTAGGTTTCTCTCATCAGCAGACAGAGGTGTGAGGTTTATTTATTTATTTTTAAAAAGCTGGTAATTGCAATACAGACACTTGTCATCAGAAGCAGGGGTAGGATAGGGTGGAAAAGGTTTGGCTGGCTGAAAACCACATCTGAGAGGGTAAAATCTATTCCTACAAAGCAATCCTAAGGGACAAAGGGCTTTAACTATTCTGTGTATCTCCGTAGCCTTATCAAAGTGATCAGGAGGCAGAGGCAGGCGGATCTCTGTGAATTCGAGACCAGCCTGGTCTACAAGAGCTAGTTCCAGGATAGCCTCCAAAGCCACAGAAAAACCTTATCTCTGGAAACAAAACAAACAAAACAAAAAAGCAACCCTAAGGGACAAAGGGCTTTAACTATTTATTCTGTGTATCTCCATAGCCTTATCTAAGAAGAGAAAATTGAAAATGTCTGACATTATAGTTTCCTCTTTCCACTCATTTGGGCTTAGAATTTGTACTAATTACTTTCCTCATTGCTACTACAGGAATCCTGACAAAGCAGCTCAGGAAAGGTAGGGCTTGGGCTCAGGGTCTGAAGGGATTTTGTTAGCTCCAGGTAGTGGAAGCACTAGGCGGCTGGCGGCTGGTCATACCATGCCCAAAGTCTGGGGCGGAACAATCTCAAATCCTTCCCCCAGTAACACATCTCCTCCCAGGAGACTGCCCCTCCCAAAGGTTCAAGAACATCCCAAAACAGCACCAAGAAAAGGGGACCAAACCTTTGAGCCTGGGGGCAGGTGTGTGTGTGTGTGGGTGTGTGTGTGTGTGTGTGTGTGTGTGTGTGTGTGTGTGTGTGTGTGCATTTCACACACAAGCCAAAACAGAATCCAAAGCTTCCAAGTTGTAATGAGATTGCAATAGTTACCTATCCTGATGTCCTCACAGGTATAAAAGGTGGGTCCCTTTGGGTTGATATATCAGCCTTTTAAAAAACTGCAAGAAAATGTCATTTTCTGGGCTGGTGAGGTGGCTTCAGTGGTGAAGGCATTTGCTCTCAAG